TGTGTGTGTGTGTGTGTGTGTGTGTGTGTTTGTGAACACAGACACAGTTCTTCATTCTCTCATGACTACGCAGCAGTAAAAAATATTTTCTCTACTTTCTCTTCTCTTTAAAAATATGCTCGCGTATTAAAGACACTAATCCTAAGGGCTGTCTCGCGGCCGCTCAGCAAGAGGGCCTCGCGCCCACGAGGCAGGCGACGAGCAGCCACGTGGGCGGCACGGGGGGGAGGACGGAGGCAGCGGCGGCGAAACCCCCTTCGCCGCGGCCGTTGTACAAGGCGGAGCGCTGCTCGTCTGCAACGAGGGGGGGGGGGGGGTGAGAGCAGGCGAGCGAGACAAAGGAGAAGACTGGCAGTGATGCAGAAAGACTGGTAGAAAGAGAAAGAAATAGAAAGTACACAGAGTGACAGTAAAAGAGTTGTGCAAATAAGAGGAAATGATAGGAAAGTATGAATTAGCATGGAAGGATTTGCAGGCTATTTGATACCCTAGGAATTATGTATGCAGGTTCGAGGAATTGATAGAAAAAGGCATATGATAGTTATAGGACAGAATGGGGAAAGACTTGCACATGCCATATAACTTGTAGGAAAAGTCTTGTACCAGTAATCGGTTATGATAGGAGGAGATCTATAGCGGCAACAGGAAGTAAGAGGGAAGAAGTTCTAAACGATCATAATGGTAATGGAAAAAACAGATGAAGCAAATAATGATGGTAACACTAACCTTAAGGCTAATAATAATAACAGAAAGAACAATACCGTGGTAAAAAAAACAACAAAGACATTTAACAATGAAGTATCAATTAATGAATTACTTTCATCATCAAATACTGACTAAAATTATATCAAACTATATCCACCAATAATTAGTACAAAACAATTATTAGTTTCCATTATAGGTATCAAAACTAAAAGCTCTAAAAGATTGTTTATAATAAATGAATAAACTGACAGACCGGCTATTTCATAATTCATTTTCCACATGACTGTAACTCACTCAGAAAGAATAAAATCCTAGTCTCTTAGCAAAATGTGGATGCGGTTCAGTTGCTCCATTCGAAATTTACATAAGTTAATTGAATATTAACTGTCTAAAGAAATTACTTGTCAGATAGTTTTCCTCTCCGTGCGAAAGAGGACAGGCCTGCTGTTCGCCCTCCTCAAAATTCTTTAAGCGAACTTTCTTAATTTCGGGACATAAAGGCTTCCACACAGAAAGCGTTTCTCTCTGAACCAAGCGTGATCGACTAAGGGTCGTGAGGCCAGACAGCATCAGCAGTACTCGTCTTAGTTTTCATGTGTGCAAGAGCGCAGGGGAGTGCTCGTAAAAAACTCACATTCCTGCATAAAACCGTCTTCAGCTAATAATCAGAATCATGTGATGGACTACAGTTAGGCCAACGCGAATATTTAGTGTACAGTCTAGCAACATAAAGAAATTCCTTCGTCAGTCACTGCAGCTTTTTGCCAGCAGAATGCGTTAATCAAAGAACTAGTAAGCATTATCGTCATATACTTATTTAACTTTCTAGTAAGCTAGCAAGTAAACGCAAGTAAAAACAGATAGATAAGCATTTGCAAATTTGACGCCTTTGGGGAAAGCTGTTAGTGCTGATCACGGTTTGATATAATTGAAGTGTCATTTACACTCAAGTATCTACAATCATGATAGATATACAAGGAAGAAAATTGGTAGTTTCATAATGATAATGTAATAATGGTAATGCCTGTGATGTCAACAATAACAACAGCAGTAACGATTAGTCAGTGAAGCGTCTATTCACGAATCGGTGACGTAACGATTGCCGGCCCTGCCTCGCCTAGAGAATCCTTCGCTCCGCCTCGTGCCTCGCCCTCGCTCACCTTGGAGCACGTGGAGCGTGAGGTTGGCGGGCCTGGCCCTCAGGGGTGCGCAGGTGTACACGCCGGAATCCGCCCAAGTCACGTTCTCGATGACGACGTAACTACAGTAGCCGTGCGTGACAATCGTGAGCGAGCGCGTCTTGGAGAAGTTGATGCCGGTCCCGTTGTGGTACCAGAAGAAGTGGCTGACGGGCTCGGTGGCCTGGTCCACGCGGCACGGGAGGCGGAGCTGCACCCCCGCGTGCGAGTGCAGCGCCCCGCCGTCCGGAACCACGGCCCGGGCCTCTGGGGGGGGGGGGGGGGGTATGGAGTTAAACGGGGAAGGAACAGGAACTATTAGTGCGAGTTATACATAAAGGAGTGATGTTGCAAATATGACTGCGATTACATTATGTGGACCTCTCATACACTAAAGTAGAAGACACATACAAATGCATACATACATACATTTATATACATACATACATACATACATACATACATACATACATACGTGTATATATATATATGTATATATATATATATATATATATATATATATATATATATATATATATATATAATATATATATATATATATATATATATATATATATATATATATATATATATGTGTATACATATACATATATATT